ACACGCAACTTTTACAAAAATGAAAGCCTCAGCTTCTCACAGAACCATCCGGTGAAACTTACTCATTGACGGTATAATGGCAACGTACTAATGTCAATTTCAGTGCTTCGCGAGTCACACGATACCCACCCCAGATATTCATTCGATAACACTGTAGGAAGTGCTCAAAAACTTTTTAGAAATTAAAAATATATATTTGCTTTTTTTTTCTTATTTCCTTTTGGAATATATTGACATGTTTGTAGCCGGCCATATTGCCATCCACCTCCATAGCAGTTGCAGGAAGTAAAAAAGGTCCTGTTTTTATTTGTTGATGACGCTCACAGTCCGACAAGTGACCTATGCACGCACACAGTTTCAGAAAGGTCAAGCACGACAGAATGGAACACGCAGTAAACGACGTCTGACTTCTTCCTACTAGCATAGGAATATATAGCTTGACGAAGCTTACACTGCAATAACTCTTTTGTATTCATAATAACATGTCTAGTAATAACATGAGTAGATAAATAGCATACAGTTTACTACGTGCGAAGCTGGGGGGCAATCACAATCTTTAACTAAATTTGAAGCAAATTTAATAAAATAATTGTGACATTTTAGTACTCTTTCAGAGATTTGGAATTGTTAGCCTTGTCTAAGGCTAGTTCGAAATAGGCTCTGGACTCTAACTCACATGTTTGTGTGTATGTGTGATAGGAAAAGAACAATGCCCCTGTCAGACTCTACTGAAGAAGCTTACCTGCAGGTTTGCCAACATTGTAGTATAGAAATTGTATCACTAGCAGATATGCTGAAGGTTGTTGAAATGACACGTATCGGCACCGATAGGGGTTATTTTGCTATAATCGTCCAGATTAGACATGTTCCGTAATCCATACAACCGATTTATCCTTTGCTCTTATATCCTTTACTATTAGACGAATTGTTTATCTGAATTGATAGTGCTATGAAATCGATAAGGTAAACAAATCTTGAGTGAAAGCTAGCAGGTAAAATATATTTTCTATATTCAACTTAATATTATTTCTACACAAAAACGTGTTACGTCTTGTAGATGTGGTCGCCGGCGCGGGCGCAAAAGTTACCCGCACACACGTAGACTAAATACCGTTATTATAGTTACAGTTTTATCAGTTAATGATCTTAGGTAATTGTCAGTCGTTTCGTGTGGATCGCGTAATTAGCTTGTAATAAGTTTCCGTTTGTAACTTGAATACTGGGCGTGGTTCCAGTTTCGTGGAGGCAAAATATTGTTGTACGGGCCCTGCATAAGTTAACATAGACAGTAACTTGCTTTGATGATTTCACGTGACGAACATACGCCAGAACTTCAACTTAAATTCGCGGGCGGTTTATGCTCGATCGATGAGCTCAGTGTCGTACAGGATAGCAAAATCGAGTTATTTCCAGTGTTCTGAATGTATAGGTATTCTGATAAAGTTACCTAGCGAATATTAGTACCGACTAAACGCTGCGATCAAAAGCCGAGACCATAATCACTTAGATCGCATAAGAGGTTTTTATGGTGTAAAAATGAAGCTAAACTTTAGCTTCATAAACTAAAATAAACTAGGGTACAGATTGACGTACACAAATGGTAAATTTATCGTATATACTTGGGATCGAAAGGAGCCAACATTCGTCTAACTTTCGATAGATTATGAAAAAATGGCTATGATAAGAATAGGGCAAACGGTGTAATATTCTGAAAAGTCTTTCTGAAGTTTGAAGCGTATATGTATATATATATATATATATATATATATATATAACATTGATATCTCTACAGTAGGGATGGACAGTCAACGTTAGAGAATTGTACACAAATATGAAACATGTTGTACACATATGTGTCTACAATGATACTTGTATAAAAATGGACAATTAACTAACTTCTATCTGATGAGACCAGAGTAACAGAGGCGGCGCCTTCAGTTACCACTGTTCAACGCCTAGCAGCTCCATTCTCAGTTTTCACATGTACTTCACATTGATAATAGACCTCTTTCATCGGTATGTTTTTGATCAATATCTCAGTCCATTGCGGTTTTTGAAGAACTTTTTGTTTGAAAAAATCCTGCTGGCAGGTCAAATCTTATTTTTTATATTATATCAGCGTGAGGTTAGTCGACTCTCCTTGACTAGTCCTCAAATATTTCAATTGTAAAGCTTATTGGCTTTTTGGAGGCATGCTCGTTTTTGACTGTTTAGCTTGTTCCTGCTGTAACTTAGGATGTTTTTGGACTTTCTCAAAATTAAGTGGAATCCTCTGGAAAATAGCGTAACACAATTCACACGAACCTCATGCGACCTCTGAGCCTTTGTATATTGACTAAATATTTTCAGTTCCCAACGCTATAAGATTTACCTTTCAATTTTTCATGTTACCACTCCGTCCGTAGGTGCCGTTAAGGGATTCGATGTTAATATGGGAACGGGCAGACGATAATCTTTTTTTTTTTGTTTTTTTTTTTTTTTTCACTAAATCACCTTCTTTCCAAGTGTTTGGTAGCATTTTAATATTAACAACTGGTTGGAATACACATACGAACAATCGTGTTAAGAAGGTGCTGCGTTTCCGTCTGTTGAAAAGTCCGATTAGAGACGTGCAATCTAATAAGCACTATATAATAAATGTATTTTTTAATAAAAAAAATATATCTTTCAGTTTGCCTTTCTTATAGAATCATTAAATTCGAATCAGGGACGGAAACCATGGTTTCACCCCGGTAGTTGATTGCGAAGGGCTATTTGTTAACGATGCAGTATTTTCGAAAATGTGAGGTGTTCCTATTCCAATGGACGAGACCGTTAAAAGGAGTAAATAATTCCAATTTGATCGAACTGTTCGCAAGAGACAACTGAATTATGGGAAGAAAAATCTCTACAATACATTAAGTCACTGCTGATAGGAGGGTTGTTCCAGGGGTAGTCTGCACCCCCTGAGTGTAGACAAATGATGCGGTAGCGTTAACTCAATTACGTACTATATTTGTACCTGTTTCAAGCGCTTTATGTAGCAAAATCCGCGTAGTACTTTCGAGGTATTTCTGGAAACAGAACTTGTTTAATCTGCTGCTATTGCCAGTAAGGTATTCTATTTTACACAGACAAATAATCGTCGTATAGAAAGATTCTCATACTGGGCGAAGTCGCGAGCTTCACGTTCAACTGTTCCCATTTCGTGCTACTGTAATCAATACGCCGAGCTGCGTTGGGTAGCCTCAAACGAAGGCAGCAGCACACAAACCCACGCAGAGTTCGTACCAAATTGTATAATCATCTAGAACTGGTATAGTGTAGTCCAAAATATGTGTCATATATAGGACTTCGCAAAATAGAGCTGCAATCATTTTTTCAGCAGCGAAGTCATAACAGTGACCTTTTTTGCTTGGTCCGCGACCCCTGTACAGATTTACTTTTCGTTAGGTCGTAAAATGGACGCCATTTAAGTACTCTAGCTAAATTTTAGAGGCCAATAATAGAAGCATAAAGCATGGCAAAAACTTTTCGCTCGTCTAGCTAGTGAGCAGCAGTCAGGCTTCTTTTCCTCCCCAACATCATCCTATGCTGAGTGATTTGACCCCCAACCGTGTTTGCGATTTGCGTAAGCATAAGAGGCTTTTCTTTGTCAATGCTTGTATTGTTCTCCAGCATACGCTGATCCGATATCTGCTTCATTCCAAGCCTTCGGACAAATCCGGAAGCTTTTCAGCACCAGCTATACGAAGAGTTGCTGATACGATTACTGTAGTCCCTGTGCGATAGGACGATACATTTCCAATACAAACTCTTGTACACACGTATGGAAAAATAGTATAACATTGGTCTAGCCATATCTTGAAAGTGTCAGGAGAAGACGGATTGCCGTTTCAAGTAAGTAATGTCATTAATTTAACGACGTCGTAGTACGTCAATGAACTCGCACAGTACGATGACGAGTTTCAAGCATGGATGTACAATTGGCTTACGTACGTAAATCTACGAAGAAGGTTAGGAAGTGAGTGTACATGTAGCAGTAACTTTCAGACATCACAAAGGAGCACTTACTCATACGAACAGCGTCTTGTTGCTATTCGTTGCGGTATAAAATAAATAAAAGAATTGACAGTTAATGTATCAGTAACAGTAAAAATCGTCCATATTTTCAATTTGTACGATGCACAAGTGCTTACTTTTATATGCACGAGATGTAGTACAGATCTAGTTTGTAAAAATATTTCCAGTCTATCTATTTGCTCAACGCATGCTTAAATTTAGTCGTTCCAACTGTCATATGGAACACAACAATCTGACGGCAAAAAATGGCCCAGCAACTGAATGATATATTAACCAGTAAAACTACTGCGTCCTTATATTTATGTTGGACGGAACCTTTGTAAGCAAACCTACGTAGAACGTTCGCGGCTGGTCTTCATAGATTAATTGCGTATGCAGTAGCGTTGAAGTTTTTCCATCTTGTCTCTCATCACACTTCACAACATTCCAATTTCCTATTTCCCCACTCGTTTACCTTCTCCATAAGCAGTACTGAATACCAATTGAACCTTCATTTTACCCGAAATGTTGAGCGTAGATCATTTAAGTGAATGCAAATGACCACCTATCTATTGATAATACCGAATCTATTGTACTAACCATTTAGCGTAATACGCCCTCTGTGAACTTGTTTCAACCCCTTTGGCGAGCGTGACAATTATCTGAAGAAAAGTTACATAGCTTCATCATTAGATAACCATATACGTGTGCTCCGCTCCATTCCATTGAAGAACTGACTTCAAGTGAGTCCTACTGCGATGCTTTCAAACATTCATCCAGACTAGTCTAATTTAACCAAAATAACGACGGTGGTTACCCACGAAGAAGGTATGCATTTCCGCGTTCTTCCGGAGCGCGTATTCCGAATCGATAATTCTCAGTTTGTAACCGTTTTGTGTACCTTGAAACTGTCATTAATCACTGATTGTTGTCTGCTTTTGTGCACGCTTGCCTTTCAGATCCACATACGAATGCGCGGACTTGGGGGGGTGACGTCCGCGCTTTCGATGTTACTCAATCGTATCATTAACGAAGATCCCTGGAACGTAATTCCCATTGCTGAAGCGCAGATGATCACCTTCGGCAGGGAAATGCTAGCCAATGTTACCGTGCCAATTTTTTCACTTGTGTAATTTTTGTCAGCTTACAAACAACTTATCATAATTATCCCAGGCTTCTGGATCATTTAAAGACTTTATTAATTAAATTTCTTTCGCAACAATGCGGTAATTGCGAAACCTGAAGCCGGTAGCCTTTAGAGGAACCCTGCCTGTTCAAGCACTGCCTTGTCTCCCGGGTACCTTGAAGGTTAATCACAACCGCGTTCGTGCATAAAACGTAGCCCGCAAATCTGCCAAATTAATTTTCGCAATTTGCCGAGTATGGTAACAGCTCCAGTTTCGCATAGGGTTCTCGCGTTCTGCGTAGGACCAACACATGCACATACATTCTTTGCTAAAATGCACCCAGGGAGCCTTCCACGAAGACGATCTGTGTGCTACTGGTGTTCAAATTACGGATGCTATAACACCAACTCAACTATTACCTAACTCATTGCCAAAAAACAACAAGAGTACCGTCATACTGCACCATTCGTTTTGCGGATTACGTCGATCTACGATAACACGACCCAGACAACGCCCAAGAGTGTTTGTTGTTCGACCCAAACAGGTGTGATGCTACTTCATCATTGCGTAAGTAAATGGCAGAGAAGAACTTTCAGCTGAGGTTGCCTTCAGAAAAATTAAGCATCGGTAAGTTGGCTCTGCACGATAAGCAAGAAGCGCAGTACTACGAACGACACGAAAAGTTATTAGCGTTTAAAACTTTAAATAAACCTAAAAACAGAGAAAATCGTATTTTATATCCAGCTATTAAGAGCTTTATAGTCGTGCCCCGCTGTGGTGGAGGGATCGATGGTAAGCGACACACATCGGACAGCTAAGGTAGGCGGAACGATCATCTTCGTATGTAACGCTTCTATACCTCCGCTGATGGTGTTTCGTTGCATACTTCGTTATACTTGCCGGTGGTTATTTTTAACAATCAAGAAACGATCGTAATTATGTACTACTATAATGATAGGTCTACCTGTAGGATGATACCGTGCAGCGCCGTAGATGCTGGCTTACAAAACACAACTCTAAGAAGAGGCAGAGGGTAAGACAGCCCGGTAGAACGTGTTATGTATATAAAAGTGACAATTATGACCGGATCCGACTTTATTCTGGTGATAGAATACGCTTTACGACATATTCGTGTAGTTATAGAATTTTTCAGATTCACAATGTTAGATATCTGAACGGATTTTCTGTGTCCTGTGAATTTTCACCGCAGGTCTTCTCCAGTGTGTGTACTCGACACGAAACTATCACAGGACACATTCACAATAACGATTCATTTCTTGAGACAGGACGTGGAACAAATAATTACGTTCCCCTACAGCGTATTTTCCATCATGTCGTTCGCTACGTTTGCCTGCAGTGCGTATAGCTTAGGTGAAAGAAAACCGGCCCATTTCACCTATCGAGAGGACATCACAATAACAACCGAACAAACACGAGCATAGATCAATTCAGTTGGGCAATTTTTGTATCGCTATAAACTTTGCTATTTATGTGTAATTGTCAACTTCTTCATATCTGGCCACCTTGTATGTCATGCTCAATAACGACTCTAAGTACAGATATATATATATACGTTTCTTGTTTGACCGTGAGCTGGTGCGGTCATCGCGCCTCAGCCATCAACAGGTGCCGGAGCTATGAGGTTCCAGCGGCAGCTTGGGCACGTACAGAATTAGTCAATCGATAAGGTCGCCAGCGATCGCGACAACGCGATTGTATTGCTTACCATTTGGTCTTTGCGGGACAGTCGTCTCTCTCTGCGGTGGTACCGACTAGTACTATCACCTGGCGCCGCGCCTGCCGCCGCCTTTTAGCTCCGCTGGAGGTTTACCGTCGTAGTGTGTAAATATATGTTGGCTTTGTCGGCACAAAATGTTCTGCTTGTCGACACAACATCAGCGTGAGCAGAAATACACAACAGCACGAAGAATAGCAGTTTGTTCTAGCTTCTGCTATCGCTAGCCGCCGCCGTAGCAGCAGAAATACGAGTCGTTATGAGGTGAGCTGTGTAAGCGTGTTCGCTTCTCTGGGTCGACAGTTTCGTTCGTTCGTTCGTTCGTACATTATTCGTGATTCTATGCCCGGAGCTATCCGCCTGCTGAATTCATTCTTTGACTGTCTGGTCAGCGCGGGCGCGGGCGCGTGACCAGAACGTCGTGCGAAACCTTGCAAGGCTGAGACGTGTTGCATAACATTCACGGTGGCTACAGCGGTGGTGTCGCCATTGGCCCAATCCCACCCCACCCCACCCCACCCCTGTGAACCTTATCCACCTTTATCCTTCACATTCTCGTATAGGGCGCCGTTATGTTTTCGAACCCTCCAATATGTTAGCCGTCCATTCCCTAGCTTCTATAGAATTTGTTATTTATGATGGCGCTTACTCGCTGAAAGCGTTATAGCTGCTACTGCCCGCATTGATCAATTGCTCAAACTGTTCGGTGCTGTCTTAATAGATCGGTATTCTCTAACGGTGTAACTAGCGGGTGCTAACTGTAATGTCTGCGCTGCGGTTCTTATTTGATTCTATTAGCCATCGAGGGGTTTGTTTATGTCTTTGTCTGCTGACGTCTGTTGGTGATCGGTAACCGCCAAAATATCGTTGATCGTGTGTGGGCGCGCGAATCTTTTCAACGGCGGCCAAATCAGTTTGTGTCACAAGGAACAACAGTTGCGTCTTCTCATAGTATGTCTTCAGCGTACGTATCCAAGTAGGCCTTCTCCTCACCACCTCGTTCTGACTGATGCTGCTATTAATGATGTTACCTTCTGCAGCGAAAACAGCCGCAAAGGTTCTGTAATTGGTGTTTGTCGCCTATTGGATGACGACGGGCTGACGGTCACCAACGTCCCGGTCGTCCACTAATCCATTGAAATAAACAAGGTTGATCTAAAACCTTCAGATCTTCTTGTGTGCTTTGCTCTCTTCCTTTCTTTTTGTACGTCCTTTCAGCTTTTTTTAAATGAAACGATGCCCAGCCACCTGAAGCACACACACACGGTGTACATGTTGACAATGATTGGTCAAACGTACCTTATTGGAGCGCAGAGACTGCTCTAGTGATGTTATGAGATCATAGTTTGACCCTGTGTTAGTTGTTTTCGTGTCCTTTTGACAGGATAGACAGAACCCGTTAGTTTTTCCTTCGCCCCATGGAAAAACTTTCAAGTAAATTCTGTTGAATCCTAGTTTTTTCTAGATGTTTGTAAGGTGTCGTAAAAACGTTTGTTACGTCGCTATTTATAAACAGGACCGCGCGAAGAATATAATTCAAGTAGAATTAAAACGTATACGCATTGTGCCAACATGGCCTGAATTAAACATTTTGTAGCCAAGACGCGCGCGCTTTGTGTCGTGAAAAGCAGCATCTTGTCAAGAGTGAGCTTTGAGGCGTAAATATGTTTTTTTGCATTTTCATTCGGCACACTCAGTTTTCTACAGTGCTAGTATATATTTTGAACCTCGTTGCTTCCGCTGGTAGCTGATCAAGCGTTCCTGTCTATGCAAGAGCATGGATTAGCTGCTACGGAGCGCGGTAAAAAAAATAATTGCAAATAATGACTGTAATGCGACTTCACAGCTTCGCAACTCTTAAGAAGTGAGTAAAATCAAAATCACGATAGATTTATCGGCTATCGGCGCATTATAGATTAAGATAAGCTAGACGCGTTCCGAAACGGATTTATATCGGAGCAATAATCTACACGGCCCTTTTAATCACAAAGGATGGAAGCTTACGAACGATATCTTCAGTGTCAAACACAGCTCTAGTCCACTGAAGTTTCTTTTACGCTTTACCAACTTGCTGCTTGCAATAGTCTTCATGAACAAATGATTCTGAGTTCCTCTTTGCGTTTCCTCTGTTGGTCTTCTATTAATCGGAGCGTAAACGAATGCGATGTGATAGTTTAGTATCAGTCAACCTATTTCTGTGACATAAAATCATACGTTTCGTACTTTTGCTATATCGTCCCGATGGACATAATCTTGACTGCCACCTCTCATACAGTATTTTATGTCGTGAAGATGTTGTGTCGATATTAGAACTTCATCTACTGATACCCAATCTCGTTTGTGACCGTTGTTCTTTGTTGTTGACCTCGAATATAGATTGAAAGTTCACGTCAGGCACCGTCATGCCTTCATCATTTCATCAACCTGTTACCATAGTACCAACCTAGGACGCCATCCCACCGAACGCTAGCTACCCGCATGCAACAAATAGCCTCTGAAGAATGCTCGCTGGTCCGTTACCGTTACTGAACAGGCAATATGGTGACGTTTGAGAAGGACGCCACACAGCTGTAAATTGTTGTATAAAATGCAGTATATATACAATAAGTTTTGACATAAACATGCAAACGTGTAGGTCATATGATATAACATGTAGCCATAGTTATTTTCATGCTCTAGCGGAAACATGCAGATACATCTATATATAAACCCAGGTAACTCAGACTGCCAAACAATTTAGTATAGAACAGTTCTGTTTTCTATAGATATATATATATATATATATTGTTATGCGCCATATTGATTTTAATGCGTAACCAGAATATATATATATATATATATATATAGTGACCGCTGCTAGACAACAATTATTCGTAATGAAATTATGATAAGAAGAATAAAAAAAAAAATGCTGTTTTTATATAATTGTACGTTGCGGTAGAACGTTGACAAACAAATGAAAAATATAATCGTATCGACATGATGTAGAAGTGTTGTCATTTTCAGTAAAAGGCATGGTAGAGTAGAATACATTCATAGTAAGAACCATTCGTACGAAACGGTAGTGCGAAACAGTTGTCGCTATTGCTGTCAAACTTTCGAGAACTTGAGTAACTTGGCGAAACTGATTTGCCAGACATTGCAAGATACGTGACGCGCCATTAGACGGCCTAAAGAGGCTGGGATCACTAGTAGACACGTACAGATCTACGGAGCCATACGGTGTATTATGGCTCCGAGGAAGATCGTCGCCATTTGTTGAGCGCGCCACAAGAACGAAGACAATTTGGGTCATATAAATACGCATCGATGCAGCGAAATGAAGAATGATTTCTGTCTAGATGGGAACAGAAGCTAATTAGTAACTGTTAGTTAATAATAGATCTTCATAGAGAAAATGAGTTATTTATACGAACGATTTTTTGCGATTCGAAAGCTCCATAGCTACATCCATCGGCTAGTCCACATACAAAGAGCAAATCAACGCAGTGGACTAGCGTTATTTCGGCTGCTTCTATTTGTCGCTATTTCTATTCATTTTCTAATTCTATTCTTCTGTAAAATGATTCGTGTCGAAGTTGTAATGCTTTCGATTTCGTTCTCCTGTTAGCTTTCAGATCTAGTCATCTCTCTCTCTCTCTCTCTCTCTCTCGCATTTATGTTCTATAGCGCAACGTGTAGCGTTAATAATATCACCCGCCGCAGATACTTCAACATGACATCGACAAATTTGTATTGTCTCCGCACAGCCATATGCCCATAAATTTGGGCTATATCCAAAGACCTCGCAACAGATAATTATACAAATAGGATTGATTGTTTGCTACAGGAAGGCAAAGCAGGCGTCCATATGTACACTACTGATATACAGAATGGTTCACTTATAGATTTTATGCTGTTCAGGGTCACTGGACGCGCTCTGGCGTCGCTGAACGATAGAGCCAATCGGCCCTCAACTGTTGGCTGTCAACCTGACAGGCGTTTAATGCGCGTACTGTTCATTATACGATAATCGCAAGAGTGGTGTTAAATAGATGATCTGTTTATACGTATAGATTTGATTCGTGCGGTCGACAGACGTTCTTCGCTGTCAGATTCTGTAGTCCTTCTCTCCGTTGGCTTGACAGGCTTCACGAGCAGTAACAGCTGGTGCTACACGTTCTAATCGGTTGGGTTAAATCGTGCGTGAAAATGCAGCCGGCCCAACATAAGCGAACCAACCTATACGAGCTTTTTTGCATTTTATTTGGTCCTTTTTCAATCCGATGTCAAATACTGGACAAACATTTAGTTCGCTCTTTCGCCACTATTGCCGAAGCTCCGCCGGTCGTCGTATAGGCATCGCTGTAGCCCGCCGACTATACCTCTTATGTACGTCGTAATGGAGTCAAGCTTCGCATCGCTCTTCCACGCCTATTTTTGACCTGAACACGACGCGTTCAAGGCCGAATTTGCTATTTGACGTTATTGCTTTATGGATTCATTTGTTTGGATCTTCTATCCGTCGAAAGTATTAGGGAATATTTACAATATAATTCTTAGGAACTCCAGTGGTATCATAATAGGGGCAATCGCTGTATCTCGTCGATACGTTCCGTCCTGACTTCCCTACACTTCGCTTATTGCTTATAACTTGCTCAAGCACAAAGCGTGAGCTGGTGTCGGTCGGCGATGACGAGCCACGAAGGCCCTACCCACGGGTGCTAACATATCAAGTAGCATAAGTATCTTGGGCATAGACGTTGGTTAGGAGCAGGATCATGGCGTGGCGCTGCGCTGGGTTCGGGTCTGGGTCTGGTCTGGTCTGGTCTGGTCTGCTCTGCTCTGCTGCTGGGTCACTGGAGCGCCAGTCTAGAGTTTCGTCCGTGGCAATGCCAGTGGCAGTAGGGCATGTATTAATGGGGAACAGGCAATGCGTACATGCGCGTCGTTGGCGTTGACATTTTTTTCCGGGTGCGATGATGTTTGCTGCTGATGCTGGCGCTGATAGTCGCATAGACGAATGGTGCTATATAATCTGCCGTCGGCGTCATTTCACGTGGGATGCCCCGTGGCGTCAGCTACGGCAGGCGAGGCAGCAGGTGTTATGAGCATTGCAATGGCATAGGTGCAATAACGGCCGTGTCGCTTACCACTAGTCGTTGCTTTTTTCGCGTATGATAGATAAACTCGGCTGTTGGTCGTGTGCAACATTTGATATCGGTTAGTTAACGCCGCAAATAAAAAGCGGTCGATAACCTTCGGCTTGATCAACGTTATTATCAGCAATTGCTTGTCTATGTATTAAGTGATCACCGATAGCGGCTTGATAGGATAAACAGATGCTGCGTATTTATGTGTATTCGTATATATTAGTTAATGTAAGACTATAACGTTTTACTAAGGCATGTTTAGGCCAAAAAGGTCAATTGTTTTAAATTTATGCTGCCAATGACAAACCACTGCACTGCAGCCATCTGTTTGAGAACAATTTACGTTCCAATAAAAATGTCACTTTTTGAATGGACGATCGAAGGTAGCAGAATATTGTATGGACTAGTAGAAAATCCAAGCTTTTCACAAAACGATAAAATGACCTAAAGATAGATTTTGGCCTTATTGTCAAATACATATATATCTTGTAATAAATAAACCCAGACAGGATGTTATTAGTACATCGTAAGTGTTCGTTAATTCCAGGGAAGCCTGCGCAACGATTTTGGAAGCCTCGTCCTTGTGGTTTAATTAAACATCTCGAACTATATACAAGGAATTAGTTACTACAGATGTTCATTTTACTTTAGAGAAGCAGTATACTACACCAGACGATATTTCTGCATCTGTGTGTTCTATTTACGATAAGGGTGGCAATGGTACGTCACACTTAGAGAAGTAGGTATCTAAGTCGAAACGAATTGGCCATCGTTAACTACTTCATTTAAGCGTGTTCTATGAAGTCTTATGTGTATGTTCGAAGCGATCCAAACATCTTTCCGTCACAGTCATTTGAGCAAACTACGAGCAAATGGCATAAGCAATGCTAATCTAAGACTGCTCGCGCGGCAAACAAACAGTTGAGACCATTGCCTCGAATACAGTCCGGGCACATAATGGCTGAACGAACAAGAATCATGTTTTTTTTTTTTTTATCAAACTTGTGTCTGTCTAGCTGTCTTTTCCTTTGACGTGTTATACGGATAGTTATGATTTTTGGATTGCAATTTTCGATTGGTGCAGTTTTCGACCGATCGCACGAAATCGCGGCGGCCCAAGATGGGCGGAATTGATCAGAGAGGCGAATGTTATCAGACTGACCGCCATTAGTCATGGTCACGGCATTGATGTGATGTCATTATGTTATATAAGACAATTGCAGCAATTGTGTTACGTTTACGTAACCGAAATGGCAAAAGATCGAACAGGTAATGACAGTGTGGAAAAAAGATGCGTCGGTAGTTTAGCTTCAGACTAAATAGATCATAATAGTAACGAGCGTTGAAGTCAAACTGATGATGTCAGTCGAAGCTATCGTTCTCTAAGTTAGTTAATGAGGATCGAAAAAAAAAAGTGTTGTGGCACACTCATGTATGATGGCGTTATGCTGAAGCTGTTGTCCAACCGGGAACTAATTCAATACAGAGATGAGAGAAATTAAAGGAAGATAGGGTGGATCCACATACACACACCGAAACATGTATATATACAATGGAACAGAGACCATAGAAGAATAAAATGAGCCGAAGAAATATGAGTCGAGGTTCTAATGAAGTGTTATATGTTTTCAACTGCATTTTCTATGGCATTCTTTACGTCTTGCATTTAGACAAGAAGAAAAAATAGAGTTTGCAAGCACAGCCGGTGTAAGCGTAACGTTGACGTCTCTTGCCTCTTATCTTTAACAAGTGGCGATTTCAGAGCACGAAGTCGTGGTACGGAAGAGCAGTTCTCATGCAGAAGCATGTATTTTTTAACAACTTCATACGTTTCAAAAAGCGAGAGCGAGCGTTAATGAGAGAGAGAGAGAAAGAGGGTGGGGGGGAGGAAGTTGACTGAATTTTACACTCAAAGGTTTTCAGCAACTTCCTAACTGTTGTCCACCAAAGCATTCTCTCTACAGAGGTATTTCTAAACGAGGTCTTCCGTGCGTTCTGTAGAGACGCTATCGACTAAATATAGGCTTTTTTTTGTGTGACAAATGGTCTAGTTAACAAGCAAACCAACAAGTGACCGTTATACGTTTGAACAACCGTTTTTTCGGTAAACAATTAATTGTAGTAAATGCTTACAACAAATAGAAATAACAGCAGTAACATCAATGGCATAACATCAACAACTGAATGGATGCTAGGGAGAAAGTCCTCTTAGGATGAGTGAAGGTAAGGTCACGTCATTCCCGCTACGCGATCGAAGATCGATTCCGAAGATGACATTTTGCCATCGCGTGGATCGTGCGAATTCCGCATACGCCTGTTTCTTATGTGTGGTAGCTAGCCGCTTTATCGGCACCTCGACCTCGTCAGCGTGCCAATTTTAAACAAAACAATTTTTATGGCATTCAGTGTCATCCTCTTTCATTATATTTTGAAATAATACGAAATGTAGAATAAAAATGCGGCAACACGCACAGTATCCATCATATCTCACGAAATGCTGCCTCTTGTCAACATTTCATCTATAGCACGACATAAATTTAAATGCACATATTTATTACTGACTTTAATTAAGGTTTTGATCTCTTCATTCTGGTGTCTGTTTTTGGTGGGACTAGATATTAGTTATTTACGGATTCTCAACACGACCTGTAACCGGGTACGATTAAAATATTATTAAAACAAGTACAGATCAGATTCATTGAACGCGATTATTTCCGATAGTCAAGTGGTAAGTGCTAAGGGTATATTGCAGACGCTGACTGATCAGTATGACTTATACACGAAGTAGCGGCAATTGAAAGGGTACAGTTGTCAATAGAGAAGAAGCTGGCTATGGATTCTTACACAAGGCTAGAAAAAGA